GGGCCCTCTGGCATCCCAAGCCAGCTCTTAACCAATGCGCCACTCGGCCGGCCATCATAAAACTTTTTGACAGTACATCTCAATCAGTCAAAGCAGACAGGGAGAGATCAGTGAGGTGTTTAGGGTACACATTTAAGAAGGCACTCACTATCAGGGCCCTATATATACTGCATACCCCTGAAACCTTAAGAATGAGTGTCTCCTTAAATTGTGCACCCTTCTTCCACCCCTGCAATTAGTAATTAAATGACTTAATGTAAATATCACCCACTTTCCTTGCACCTTTTTTAGAGACCAAATGAAATGCCTAACAATATGCATATGAGAAAAGATCAAAGAAGAAACAAGTATGAGCAACTTGCAAACTGTACAATCAGACACTGAATAATTAGTACTTAGCTATATGATATATACTGCTTCTTACTCCAAGTAATATATTATGCAATGAACTGTTAAACACTAAAAATATTAGCTATGCAACCTCAGAAGAACTGTGGAAATTTATCTGATATATATTACTTCTCCAACATGAAATCTTCAAACATTTTTTATAATAAAGTTCTGAAGTAATGAAAATACAAAGATTGGAAGGTCTGCAATTTTCAAATTGTGATCTATGGAGCCCCGGGGTTCAGGGAGAAATCCCAGGGGGAGTTGTGGAGGTGGTTCCAATACTCACCCCAACTTCAACCTAAGTGGCTGCACAGATTTAAAAATTATCTATATCTACAATGTATCTATATCTATATTAACAAAACCATCCACTTAGAGGCAGGGTTCTACTGTAGAAAAAAAAAGTTTTAACCTTACAATGATATGAATCCAACTTTAGGACTTTTACTCATATTAAAAATCTGCAAAAAATAATATTAACAACACTGGGTAGAGATGACATTGTATGACCTGAAAAATTTCAGAATTTACTTCAGTTGTGATATGAAAACTGACAAACCAGGAAAAACAGAGTAGTGTCTGTTTTGTAAACTACGCAAACCTTTAAATAAGATTTTTGAAAAATGTCCAAAAATGAAAACAAGTAGAGCTTATCTGATTGAAAAGTAAAGATGAGACAGCTTCTTTTTTCCCATTAGGCTTCCTCTGCCTGCTTTCTGAAATATGGTCCTTCCCACAACTGTCCCTCCGCCTCCCCGCAACACAAACACAGAGCAGCCCTTGAAGGACCACCAGAGAAACGCTATGAAAAGGTAAAACCAAAGTAATAACATCACTTTATCTGGACTAAAAGCAGGCATCCATTTCTAAATTTTCACCATGCAGAAAATCACCACAATAAAGTTCATACTCAGTTATTATAAAATAAAGAGGATAAAGTATATAAACTAAAAATTTCAAAATACACAACATAGTAAATACTAAATACAGTAAATACTAAGGTATTTAGAAATCAGCTACTTGGTCTTTTTTTTTTCAAGGAATCATGAATTGCTATGATTGAGAAAAGCAGAACAAAGGTCAAGGCAGTAAAATGTTTTCCCCAAAACACTATTACTACTTACAAGAAAGATGACTGACTACTCTGTAATAATGTTACTGACAAACTTCCTCCGTCCTGTTCGGGATATTCACAGATAATCAGTTCAAAGATGTTTGTATGGCTTCCCATATACTCTTTAACCTCAAAAAATCTTACACAATAATAAAATATTCTAGAATGGGAAAGGTTTATAGTTGATCTAGGAGCAGGGATAATATAATTACATAAAATATTTCACTAAGCACCCAAAAGTATACAAATATCTGATTGTCTTTACTAAATTATACTCAAAAATGTTCACTAAATTGTGATCACATTTCACATTTAATCTTAAAATACATCGACAGAATCTGTTCTAACCAAACTGTGTCAGAAAGTTCATTCACTATTCATATCCTGAAATATGAAACAGTTTAAATAATACAAAATTTTATGTGAGTTAATTCAATTTAAACCACAATTTATTTTAGTTAAATTCTACTAAAAAACACATTGTTGAAGTTTGCAACATTCAAAAGTAATGCTTTTGTGTTCTTTACACATCCATGAAGACAAAAAATTACACAATTAACCTAAGAAATTCTACTTGCAGTATTTTAAGGGCCTTAAAATCTATTAACAAATAAATTTAGGAGTTGGGCTGGCCATAACACAGTTGACCCTTGAACAACATGCGTTTGAACTGCATGAGTCCCACTTATTCATGGATTTTTTTTTTCAATAAATACGTACATTACTATAAAGTATTTTCTCTTTCTCAAGATTTTCTTAATAACATTTTCTTTTCTCTAGCTTACTTTATTGTAAGAATACAATATATAAAACATATGTATACAAAATAAGTGTTAATTGACTATGTTATAGATAAGGTTCTGGTCAACAGACTATTAGTAGTTAATTTTGGGGGGAGTAAATAGTTATGTGCAGATTTTCAACTATGTGGGGGTCATTGTTCAAGGGTCAACTGCATTAACATTTCAGAGTTAACAGAGTAGGGAACATATTATCTTTCACCTTTGTAATTATCAGTGTATTAAAGAATTCCTTTTTCAATTTTAATTACAAAAATTTAATAATGTAGCTCTTATAAATCATGCATACATATATTTCTGACTAACTTTACAGTCTTGTATTATACAAGATACCACACATTACTTTTTTTTGAAGAAAAACTGTACTCATATGTGAAAGAAACCCTGTACTTTGCAAAATTTGGTCATTTGCTATAGACCTTAAGAATAAGACAGTAAAACAAAAATAGCCAAACAGATAGATGTAAAACGCTAGGTCAGAATAAACAATTCCACTATTAAGGAAAAAGTATCTGGAACACAATTTTAAAATACCAACTTCTAAATTGTTTGAATTCAAATAAGAATAAAGTAATTCAGTAAATATTGCAATTTACCATTTTGTACATACATTTTTTATGCTTAAAGCATTTTATTTGTGCCTTTAAAGGGTTTTTTTAAAGAAATGACAAAAAGTATTGTATTTTTCCAATCTTTTTTTTAAAGAATAAGAGATTAATTTAAAGTAGCAGATTTCCTTTAGTTTCTAACTTCACTAAATTAGGTAGAAAACGATTTACAAAAGAATCGTATTTTTTTTCAAAAGCATTTCAGTAATATTGATAAGTGCATGATAGTTTGTGATACTTCATGTAACAATAAGCAAAGAAGTTTTAGAACTGAAAATATTCATTTCAAAGACATTATCTAAATTTTTGTACACAAGATGTTTGTTTTTCATTGTAATTGCAAAATAATGCAGAATAGTATTTCATTACAAATAAATAATAAAAATTTAAAGATAAGATTATGTTTAGGATATACTTATGAAGACACATCTTAAAGTAATTTATCACCCATAATAAAACAGAGCTATAAAAATGCCAAAAAAATTTAAAGGAAATTGTACTTACATCCATAGCTCTCTTAATAAATGGTATCTGTGTGCCACTGTCCAGATCTTCATTTATAATAAGCCTTCTAGCCCACTGGCCTGCCCTGACAACACCACTACCATGAATTAAAACCATCAGTTTCTGTGGATTTGTCAAAGCATCCTCACTCATAAAGATAAAACTCTTTGGTTCACTCTCAGTGGCATCTACCTGTAATTAAAAAAATAAATGTTTTCTGATCAGGCATAAATATAAATTAGAAAACAAATGGTTACTATAAATTATAAAATGGCTATTACAGAATTATAGAAGTAAAAAAAACACTTTAAAATAAAATTAAAATAGTCATAAGAGATTAACAATTATATGCAAGATAGAGGAGCAAAAAAGATATCATAGTAATTTAAATACAAAAATATAAAAAATAATATTAGAAATATATGACTCCCTACATTATTGTTGTATATTTAGTATGACAGTATCACTATATATAAGAATAACTAATGTTTTGAGTACTTCCTATTGTCTAGATACTATGAGAAATGCTTTAAAAACATTATCTCAATCACAATCCCATTAAGAAGGTACTATTATTATACTCATTTATAGATGAAGAAATTGAAGGATACACCTATTGGAAAATCATATATTGTCCAGGAATACTACTAAACTTTTAAAATGTGGGAGAGGGAACTATTTAAAAATTCAAAAACACACCGTTCTATGTAAATGGGCTTTGAAATTTCATTCAGAGTATGAACACAGGATTACATAAAAATTATTTTGTGAAGGAGTATTGTTTATATACTCTGATAACCTTATTTTATGTACTAGTTATCTATAGGTTGAAAAGTAAATATTTTTATTCATTTTGATTGCACTTAATATTTAAGTTTAAGCTAGATGATGTATGATTTAGATTTGAAAGACTCAAAAGACCTTTAGGAAGGGATAACTCCCCAACCTTTTATTATGTATGCCATGGCACACACTGAGTGGTATTTCGCATCTGCAGTGGCAAATAACTAGGAATGGAAGCCTTTGTGCAGCCAGGTCAGAGACAGAAGCTAAAGTCTTGATGGCTGGTAATGAAGACATCCTCAAATAGAAAGTGTGAGTCTACACGCTGTGTATGCAATGGTTCTTCACTTCATCAACAGTACATATTTATACAGTTATCAAAATAAGAAACAGACAAAAACTCTAGATATCAAAAATATACCCTGAATTCTAAATGTTCCCAGTCACAATTCCTGGGAAAAGAAAAAAAAATAAAATTCCTCTACTTCTAAAACAATCAGATTGATGTCAGTAATAGATACTTAGCCATTTGTATAAACAGAGCATAAGGGCAATTACTTCAGCAAGAAGAGCATGGTCACAGGGCTGAAGAAAAACACCACCTTCTCCGTGAAGCCGTTCCTGACCTCCTCATTTAAATACCTCCCCAAGAATTCCCTAGTCCCTTGCTCTGTTTTATTTTCCTTGATAACACATGCCATAATCGAATATATTATATGCATTACTTTATATATTTGTTTGTATATCTGTTTATTAACCATCTGTTTCCTCCACTGGAATGTCAGTTTAGGAAGGCACATACTTTTCTGTTTGTATCTACCTACATTCCCAATGCCTAAAAGAGAGGCTGACACATTACAGGCACTCAGTACATAAAGGAATGAATGAACTTTTGGAATAAGAATCTCATGAAGCATCACCAGTGACTTCCTTTAGATAAAAGGCATTTAACTAAATAATGCACCCTATAAATGGTTATAGTACTTGCCTGGTTCAGAAAGCATAGATTGAATATTAAACTAATATATGATTATAAAGAATTTTAAAAGAGCTGCACAATGCTAAGAATTAAAATGCTGTAATTATATCTTTATTATTAGTAATTAAGTATGAAGGAACAGAGGTGTGAAGTGTAACACAATCACATTAGCTTCAAGTTCATAAGAAACCCAGAGTGAACAGATTATGATGATGACAGTGGGTACCACTGAAGTCACAGAAGAGGTGGATGAGAAATGGGAAAACCAAATGTAGGTAATTTCCTTTTAGCTAAGAATATTATATGAAAACAGAGGAATCATTCTGTTAAAGTGGCTTTAAAGAAAAGAAAAAGAAAATAGTGATTAAAAAAAAGAAAACATTGAAAAGAAAGCTGTCAGTATGTAATAAAAAAAGGGCCACAGAGGTTTCTCATCATTCATTTACCAAAGAGTACATTTAAACACGCACAAATAAAAGTACCTCTTAAAGTCAGTAAGGCATTAATGAATCCTAGAATGGCTATGGAAATGGACATGTTTATCTTAATGAAAAACCCTGTAGCTCTAGACTTTCCAGCACTGGCAGATCACTGTTTTTTGTTTTTCTTTTCTATTTGACCAAGTCCCCTATTACCAAAGAACTCAGTCAATTTTTTTAAGCAATAGAATGCTGGTACTTTAAATTTCACAGTAATCACTTTAAAACTAGAAGAGTATGTATTTTCCAAAGATAAAATTGTGATTTTTACATTACAATGTTCAAAAACTTTTAAGGGGCTACAAATTAAGGTAGCCATGAATAAATGAAGTTTTACTTGAACATCCAAAAAAGTTGACATTAAAAGTATGAGAACATTAGAAAAGTCAAGGAAAAAAACAAAACTGAACAATGTAATGATATTAATGACTACGGACTAAGAACAATATTTGAGCTGTTTATTGGCTAATATTCATCTCAATTTAACACAGAACTCTGACTCTGCAGTTGGTAACTATAATTTACTCTGTATAAAGTTAGTGCTAATTTTCAATAGTAAAATATCTATCTGAATAATTTTCTTCATTAACTTAATTAAGATGGAAATGGCTGTTCCAAGGCCATTTATCTTCAAATAATAGTAATTCATTAAGCAGAGCTTTCATTAAGGAATGCATACAGATAAAGGTCATTCCAATGTACCACCCCACTTTATTGATAAATCAACTTCAAAGACCAACTGGTCAGTGAAAGTGCACCAAACAATTTTTAGCAGTTAACAACTTATTTGGAAATGCTCATGAACCCCACTAATTGTAATGTCCATTTAAAAATGACTGAATAAACTGAATGTAAATTTGTAGCCAAGTTATTAAGTTAATCCATGTATGCAGTATTCTATATAAGTGTGAGATACTACAATTGAGAATATTTTGTACCCACATATGTGAAGTGGGAGTAAACAAGAGACATGATTATGACCTTCACTATTAAATCATGGGCTCCATAAAGTGCTGTCATTTAGAAAAGAAACAAAGCAAGTTTTTCTTTCCTTATTAAATAGTTCAACTATGAAACTAAAACTTAGCTCATCATCAGTAGAAAAAAATTAGGTGGTATTCCTTTAGTAAAAAAGAACTGTACCCAAAAACAAAACAAAACAAAAAACAGTCACTGCTACTGTCTACCTGGGATTTAAGAGAACTTGGGAGAAAACTATAAGCTATGGAAGAAAATTTTCACAACTATTAATACATATAATATGTGATGATAATTTAAGGAGAGATTAATTTCCTAAAACAAAAGAAATTTTGTTTGTTTTCAGTTTATAAAACCAGGGAATTTTTACTAACCAAAAACGCACAGGACACTTATTATAGGTCTCATATAATGTAAAGCTCTCTCTATGCTTATTAGCTTTATAGTCTAAATTTATTGAGAGGAAAATAGGTCAAAAAAACAAAGTCTGTCTAAACCGAATCTCAGGCTTTCTATAAAAGAAATTAATGAAACTTAATCATATAACATGATCTATATGGCCAATTATCTTGTGATTTGTTCTGTAAATCTAGGGGGTTGAAGTGAGTTTAAAGGTTCCATGAAACTACAAGTATTATAGAGTTATGAAACTCAATATTAATTGTGTTGTAACAATTAATTAACCTAGGGCTCTTTAAATATCATTCTTCAATACTTTGAAAGAAATAAAATTTAAAAAAATGAAGGCTCGACAGTGACAAAATTCTACATTGACATTTAGAAGACCAAATTCAATACATAGTTTTAATACAATAACACACTAGATCTAGAGTGAAAACTAAAACAAAAAGTTTGAATCCCAAAAGGACTAGTATTGACCCCCCAAAAGATACCAAAATCTTGGTTTTCATGTATTTCTAAAGGAAGGAAAAGTTTCCAAATAAACAAGGGTTGGCCTAGCTATTACATAGAATAATGTTTTATTCACCAGTACTTCATAAGCACTTGGAATAGTACTTGGCACCTTTAAATAAATATATCTGTTGAATGAATGAATATATGAATAAATAATTAATAATGTGATCTGTACTTGAGGTTATCTACAGAAAATTAAATATAAAATAGATTTCTTGTTAAAAAATTGAACTATGGAATTAATTTGTAAGGACAGTCAGTATAATAAAATCCTCAAACCCTACTATTCTTAGAATAATATTATCCAAAGAACTTAAAAATCTCATGCAAAATTTCATGAAATAAACAAAACCTATATGCACAGCTTTGTGCCGTAAATGAATTACTTTTATTAAGTCTTCTAGATTCACCTACACCATAAAATCCAAAAGTCGTCAGGGAGAGCAAAAATCATCTAATCTAGTCCTATCATCGCTTCACACATAAGATTACTTCTCCATTTGAAAGCTTAATAGTTCATATTTCACATTAAAAACAAAAATCTTCTTTTGAGAATTTGAACCTGAAGACAAATTTCAAACTTTTTCACTCAAATGTTGATCTGCAAAATTTCAAAAAAATGTTCTGCCAAAATGGGAGGGAGGCAGTGTTATAAAACACGAAGCACAAGGAATAAATTTGGGAATGTTGAGAGGAAATAGCATAAAAATAAAACATATAATAAAAAAATGAAATAATTAAAGAGATGGTGAATGTCTAATGCAACAGAAAGTACACTGGTTTACTTCACTTCAAATAAATAAATAAAAATTAATTATGTCAATGAAATAAAGGGATGAGAAAAGGGTAGTCTTTTTCATTGTTATAATTTTTTTAAAAAGACTAGAAATCAGTCTTTCCTTTATACTGAAGAGCATTACTTTTTGAGAATTATTGTGCACAATGAGGTTAGGTATACTGACAGGCATTTAATACTATCTTTATCAGTATCAAAACACTAGGACCTTAACATTTAAACTTACCACAGTTAACCTAAAACAAAAGATTTTTTCTTAATTGAAAGCTATTTTATTCAGAAGTACAAACATTTTTTCAAATTGGACTTACTGGAATAGAGATTTTTTTCAAATTACAGTCCTTTTCCAGGAGTTCATATACATACTTCGTGATGATCTAAATAGGAAAGAAATAACAAAGTAAGATACAATGTTGTCCATTATCAAAATTCACATAAATTATTATAATTTATTGCTCTGAGTATCTCTCTATCTTAGAATGTTGTTATACAAAATTAATGGACTCTTTACTGGTTACTTGCAATGGTTTACTTCCTGTTGCTGTGAATAATTATGGGCCTTAATACTAAGGATCAAGAGCAGTTAATATAAACAAGGAATTTCTATTTTTCAAAGCAATACTCTGTAAACATATTTTCTTTTTTCAGTATTTTTAGAATCTCTTTCCCCTATAATTTCCCTATAGATATTATATCTAATATAGTACTATCGTGGCTCTGAATCCCAACACGTTTTTGTTTGTTTTTTATTCACTGGATCAAGGAGGAAATGGTCAGAGTTATTCTACACAGAAAGAGAAAACTGATCCAGCAAAGCCAGGCACCAGTCAGTAGTACTGTTTGTGGTAGGCAGAAACATGGCTACCCAAAGATGTCCACATCCTAACTCCCAGAATCCGTTAAAATGTCACATTACATGGTAAAAGAAACTCTGCAACTATGATTACTGTTAAGAACCAAAGATGGGGAGATTATCCTGGAATATCTGACTGAGCCCAATCAACCATATAATCCTTAAAAGTGAAGATTATGGAAGAACAGTGTCCCAGAAAGATGCAAAGTGAGAAGGCGTCCATTGGCCAATGTGGGTTTTGAAGATGGAAGGAGATCCAAAGATCCTAGGAGAAAAAGCTGACTCACAGCCTGGAGCACAGAAAGTACAAAGAAATCTAAAAAATTGTTTTTGCACCGAAAAATAAGAAAATATTGAAAGAGTGATGAATAAATATTAAAAGGACACAAAACCGGCTTGATAAGAATCAATCTAGCCAAATCTGGGATAGTTGAGGCATCAAAAGAATGACTTCAATGGATTACATCATCCATTGAATAGAATAAGAATCCATGAGTTCATAATGATATAAATAAAGTAAAAAAAGGAAAGAAAGCTCTTTCTTATAATGGAATGCCAACTAATGCATATAGAAGAAATGAAGGAGTTAGAAATCATCAACAAATGATAAAATTAATAGGTGGTAGTGTCATAAATAACAGTTCAAGTATCTTCCCCCAAATTACTGATAAATTACAAGGAGAAAAATAATAGTAACTTTATGGTATGACCTGGAAGATATCACCAATATTGGAGCAAACCAAAATCATGTACTCTTGATATCATGCATTGAGGACAAAAGCCACATCTAAGATACTTTTGTCAAAAATGCAATCTAATTATGAGAATACATAAGACAAACTCAAATTAGGGGTCTTTCATCAAATGTCCTGTACTCCTCCAAAAGTGCTAATATTAAGAAAGATAAAGAAAGGCTTAAGGAATGGTTCCAGATGAAAGGAGAATAAAGAAACATGACAACTAAATGCAATGTGAAAACCTGAATTTAATCCTCGACTTGAGGAATATCAGCTATTAAGTACATTATGTGACAATTAGCAGAATTTAAACATAGCTTATAGATTGATAATACTGAATCAATATATAATTTCCTGATTCTAGTAACTATACTATAGTTATGAAGAGAATGTTAGGAAATAGATAACAATGTATTAGTGGCAAAAGGGAATAATGTTTCCAACTCTACTCTTGAATGGTTTAGAAAAAAAAATTATATAAGTAATATATAATATAGGTGGTTCCTTGTAATTACAGCTTTTATGTGTGAAATTATGTCAAAACAAAAACTGATTTTTGACACTGCATCTATTTCCACAAATATTTCAATGGAAATGTGGCAGATGACAAACAAGGTACGGTAACAACCTTTCCTTTCACTAAAACATTTTAATTTTTTGAAATGTTAAAAAAGACCACATCTGTACTTGGGGATAATTTTCTTCCATGACTGCTTGTCAAACCAAAGATTCACTGGAGCAAGTCCTATAGTTTGCCGTGTTTGTTCCTATGTTCATACCCCACCTAAAATGCTCTTACCTTCCCCCATTTTTCTCCAATTGCTCAAAAGTCAATTTAAATGCTACCTCCTAGCTGAAGTTTTCACTGATCCTACCAATGACTCTGCCTTTCTTATGACACTTAGCATTCCATCATGATTCCCTCACATTCTCATTTGCCCACTGAACATATCCTACTTTACTGGAGCATGAACCGCACGGTAGATGCACATTACATGAACAATGAATGAATGAAAATAATTGGCAGTGTTTGCGAAACCTGTGACATTTCAATTTATAAAAACTATGAGTTAATACATTTTAAAAACAATATTTTAAAAATTAATTTTTGTTGAAAATAAATTCACAAGCTTTAAATTAAACATAATAATAATATAAAACAATACACACTGAGAAGTCTCACTCCCACCCCTGTACTCCTCCATGAGTGCCCCCTCACTCTGTCCCCTATTGGTAATCTTACTATTTAGTTTCATATGCATCCTTCCAGTGTTTCTTAGTGCCAATATAAGCAAACAGAAATGTATTATTTCCCTCTTGTTCTTAAAAAAACAAACAAACCAGTATACTATACATGCTGTGTTGCACACTGTATTCTTATTATCTTCTCTTACAGCAGATTAAATAAAGTGTTACTTTATCATCTAAAAATTTATACTGATGATCTACCTTCTCAGTAACACAGACCTTTTTAATTCTATTTTACTAGTCATAATATTCCATTGTGTGGATGTACCATAGTTTAATAAATTTAAAAATATTAAATGCTTCTCAAAAATATTCACTAACACATATATAACCTTAAGCATTGTTTATTAAATCCTATGCAAATTAAATTTACACAAAATTATTACCTTGAAGCTTAGAATCATTTAAAATAAAGATCCACATTTATGATAAAAACTCTTAGCAAAGTGGGAATAGGAGGATCATATCTCAACGTAATAAAGGCCATATATGATAAACCCACAGCTAACATCATACTCAATGGGGAAAAGCTGAAACCATTCCCTTTAAGATCAGGAACAAGACAAGGCT